CGAGTTTCGCAACGGTATTGATCGTAGGGGGCTTAATCCTTACCAAAAGGTGAACACAGATGACTGTGTTGGTCTCCTTTGCTTTCCCCCAGCATTCAGCGTTGGAATTGTGGGTTTACCGTCCCTCTTATTAAAGTTATCTAACTTTTTGTAGCTTCGTCAGGTTAGACGCGACGCGCGTGGCGATATCCGGCGGCCGCTGGCGGAACTACCGCGCACGGGCCTGGCGGCCGCCAGTGGAACTACTGCGCAGGTGGCAGCACCTGCCCGTGGAGAAGCGGCTGGCAATCGGCCGCCCCACTCCCCACCCCGCCCCCACCCAGCTGGCCGCCAGACCGTGGGAACGACTCGGCTCAGCGCTGCCGGCCGCTGGACGGGGAAACCCCGCCCCGCCGCCCGACACACTGCCGCCGGGCCGGCCGGTGGAATTTTCCAGCCGTCGGCCGGTGTTTATTTTTTCGAAGGAAGAGTTTGACGTACTTATATTTACAAATTCCACTCCCTCTCGGTCCCCACTAACCTGCATTTCTGGCGCGTCCGGGTTCATCCCGGTGAGGAAATCCGGGCGGTCCAGTACGGGCGAGACGCCGGCGCGCGGCGGCGCGGACGGCCCGTCACAACTCACATAAGGTACAGACGGGAGAGATCGACCACACTCCCGCGTAAAATAAAACGTATCTAAAAGCGTATCTTATCATCAAGGTCGCAAACACTCAGCTCGCAGTCCAACACACGGGTGGAAACTGACGCTAGCGTCTCAGGGCTCACTTCCGCCCCCCCCCTCCCAGTCTCCCCTCACTGCCACCCCATCCTGAACACCCCAGGGGTCTCCCCATAGCGTCACCCCCTCGCATTCCCGGCGGTCCCCTTACCGCCGCCCCGCCCTCCCACACCTCGGCGGCCGAGGCGGCCGGCCGGCCCGCCGCTTTCCGCCCAATGTCCTCATTTGATGATATCTAAATTTGGCGCTCTCCAGATCGCCAGAATTCTAGAAATGGCCGATGAGAATACGATTATATGTGTATTACATAATCCGTTGAGCAATAAGTGGAGTCAATTTGGACGTAACTATGTTCACAGTTGAATGGAAGCCAAATAAGCCGACGAGGGTCTCAATGTCTGAAAATCGCTAAATTTAAGCGCTTATCAAATACAAGAGGGTGAAGGGAAACAAACATAGCGGGACCCAGGTGGTCGACAAAGACCTTCTCGACACGTTGGCGAGGTTCTAAGGCGTCTAACATATACCCGGTGTGCGCCACGTCTGGCTGTTTCGGGTGTCCTCATATGAGGACACTGAGCGCTAATGGGTTCTCACATACAATCCTCACGAAAACATACCTTTATCGAAGAATAATCAGAGAAATGTACAGAAAGGGCAAGGTTTCCGAATATTCTTACGGAAATGTGTTTCTATGGTAAATTTGGCGGAATGCCTTTTATGGTGACATCTCTGTCTCCCTTATAAAACTCACGGGTCGGAAACATACCATTGCGAAACAAATATTCGGAACACAGCAGCGAAAAGAGACTGAGCCGCTTCCGAATTTTCTCACGGAAATACACTCTAATGGTGTATTTGGCGGGATGTCTTTCATGGTGACATCCCAGTCTCCAATAAAATCCTCACGGAAACATATCTTTGCGAAGAATACTTGGAACACAGCATCGGAAATGACACGGCGACGCTTCCGAATTTTTTTCACGGAAATATACTCATGTGATGTATCTGTCGGACTGTTTGTCATGGTCACATCTCAGTACCCAATGTAATCCTCACGGAAAGATACCTTCATCAGTAACGGGGCCAACCTATTGGCTGTCAGGGGCTCGAACGTGGTGAGCCGGAAGATGATTGTCGGTTCGGGGAGGGAGGGTCGGGGCAGAGGGGTGTGAGGAGACCCGAGGCGTGGCGCGGCAGAGAACTGAGAGCGCGGCCCGAGTCCAGGGAGGGGGGGGGAGGGGACCGGGCAAGGCCGAGCCGAGATAAGGCACGCATTGTTCACAGAGGGAGGGAGGGGACGGGGCTGTCTCGCAGGACAACATATCCACAGATGGTTGAGCAGTCCAGGACGAGAGCTCGGAGGTGCAGACGGCCAACATATAAACTTTAATGATGAACATCAAGCTAGTAACATGCATACTGACACCAGATCGTACCAACCTGAACCGGACTATGGAATCCAATTCGTTGAAGATATGTTACATGTCACATGAGCTGTCAAAGACGCATATTTATGGATGCATGCATTGCAGTCCCTGCCACGCCTGTCAGGCATGGCAGGTGCTGTCCCTACCAGCCATATGCTCCATTCACAGTTGCAGCGGTTGCTGTACATTAGCGTCATCTATGATTCACGAAAAGTCTCACGATGTTGTACCCATTTCCCGCATTATCTACGGTGGTATTAGTTCGTGAGAGAAAACGTGAACGCCCATAAGGTGTGCTGGAAGGTGGTTTTCCGAAAAGTCTCACGATATTGTACGCCATTCCCGACAAGTCTACGGTGATACATTTTCGTGAGAAAAACCGGAAAACCAGCTCACAGGACTCTGACACCGCACCGTGTGTCATTTTGACACGGAACTGGTGTCAATCGCTTTTCCGAATTTTCTCATGGACACATATGTACCTTGCCGAAGAATATTCGGAAAATAGTACGGAGAGTGCGAGGGAGCAGTTTCCGAATTTTCTCACGAAGTTTGACGCGCTGGGGCGCGGCAGTGAGCCGGAACATCCGGGAGCTCTGGTCGCGCCTGGGGCAGGGATGCGGGCCCGAGGCTAGATGCTCGGCGCTGGCCGTAGGACAGTTCCGCGCGACGACCCCTGTCAGTCCCGCCCCTCACCCCACCCCCCGCGGTGCCGGTCTCGGGTCCCGTCTGCCCCTACTTTGGCGCCATCTACGATTCACGAAAAGTCTCACGATGTTGCACCCAGTTCCCGGATTATCTACGGTGGTACAATTTCGTGACAAATACCAGAAAACATGGTCCTGGCCAAGGCTATATAAACCAGGTAGAACGCTCCCGACGAAAAAGTGGTGACAAGCGATAATTAGTAGCCGCGACCCTCTTTTGTTCAAAACTATATCCGCAAGCAGCATTTACAGGCTAGCGGAAATCGACCAATCGGCGTTCGGCAATACTCAACGCTGATTGGCCCGATGCTCGTGACGAAATTGTGGGGGACTGCAGCTATTCCCCTATGGCGTTTAATAGACTTACGGCTTTTGAAGGGGATTTGTACCAGTTTTTGTTGGGTTTGAGGCCATTTTTGAGCTTGGATATTCTTTCTGTGACTTTTGACTGTGTAATAACGACATTTAATCATAACATTTCTATATACTACCGGTGTCACACATCGACCAAAAAGACCGTAAGTACATGGGATAGACGGACCACTGCTGATGGGGCCACACATGCCGGCGTGTGGTCATCGGAGGCCCATGAGGGCTCGACATAGGCCCTTCATGGGTCGGTATAGGCCCGGTGGGTCCAGTGCAAGCCTATCAGGGGCCGGTGCTGACCCAACAGGGCCCAGTGACATATAATGTAAGGCCGTCTAGGGACGTTGAGGGCTCATGGGGGCCATATAGGACCAATAGGGACCACATAAGCCAATCAGGGGCCATTTAGGCCAATAAAGGCACTTCAAGGGACTTGAAAAGGTCATTCAAGAGCTGTGGTGGGCCCATGAGAGGACGGCACTGGTCCAGCAGGTGCAGTCAGGGGATGTTGTACGGGTTTCTCAGTGGCCCATTTGGGCATATCAGTGACCAATTTAGACCCAGCAGTGGGCTTTGTAGACCTATCAGGGGCTGGTGATGGTTCATCAGGGGCCAGCGTTAGTCCATCGGGGCACGGCATATGCCCATCAGAGGTAATTGCGAGCCCACGCTGAACAATGCTGGCCCTTCAACGGCCCCATGGATCTACATTGACCCATGGGCCATGATGTGTCATGTATGCCCCTATGACAGGCCTACTCAGACCCCTGATGGACGTTCCCGGCCTCTGATGACCCTATGCTGAATGCAATTTAGACCCAGCAGTGGGCTTTGTAGACCTATCAGGGGCTGGTGATGGTTCATCAGGGGCCAGCGTTAGTCCATCGGGGCACGGCATATGCCCATCAGAGGTAATTGCGAGCCCACGCTGAACAATGCTGGCCCTTCAACGGCCCCATGGATCTACATTGACCCATGGGCCATGATGTGTCATGTATGCCCCTATGACAGGCCTACTCAGACCCCTGATGGACGTTCCCGGCCTCTGATGACCCTATGCTGAATGCTGATGGGGCTCTAAGAGTCTCCAATAACCCTTCGTCACCCCATTATTACCATACGCTGGCATTAGGGACCCCACATCAGCCGCAGGGCAGTCCGTACCATGACAGCATGTCTTTTCGGCCGATATTTCATCGGTAATATTTATCAAAATCATGATTTTATGGTGCCATTATATAGGTAACAGTCATAAGAAATATATTTCAACTCGAAAACAGCTCGAAACAGCATATAATTTTAAAGAAACCCCTCCGAAATCCAAAAGCCTATTCGGGTCCATAGAGAATAACTGCGGTCCCCCGCAATTTCGTCACGAGCGTCGGACCAATCAGCGTCGAGTACCGCCGAGCGCTGATTGGTGAATTTTCCGCTAGCGTGTAAGTACTGCTCACGGAACAAGAGTTCGTCGACAATCCTCCACAAACGTCTGTCACCATTTTTCATAATGCTTAACAGCCGGAGCGTACCCCCCTGGTCCTGGCTTAAGGGGCTGTGACGGAGTACCGTTCGTCAGGTCGACACGGGACTGGTGTCAATCGCTTTTCCGAATTTTCTCATGGACACATAGGTGCCTTGCCGAAGAATATTCGGAAAATAGTACGGAATGTGCGAGGGAGCAGTTTCCGAATTTTATCACGAAGATATCCTTCGGGGATGATTGGCGTCTCAATAATGTAATACAATCAATCGGTGAAAATCTTTCAGATTAAGTGTGGCCTTTAAAAAGGCCTGTTGTTCGTGGGGCTTTCGTCGCGAGGCATTCCGCTTAACCGCCGAAGCCGTACAGTGTGCGGCCCTGGCGCTTCAGAGCGTAGACGACGTCCATGGCGGTCACCGTCTTGCGCTTGGCGTGCTCGGTATAGGTGACAGCGTCGCGGATGACGTTCTCCAGGAACACTTTGAGAACGCCGCGCGTCTCCTCGTAGATGAGGCCGCTGATGCGCTTGACACCGCCACGACGAGCCAGGCGTCGAATAGCAGGTTTGGTGATCCCCTGAATGTTATCACGCAAAACTTTACGATGCCGCTTAGCTCCTCCTTTACCCAATCCTTTGCCGCCCTTGCCACGTCCCGTCATCTTGGCGAGTAATTGGTGGTACCTACCTTCAGCGCTTTATTGCTTTATTGTGGTACCTGGCCTGCCGCTAACAAGCGATGTCGGCCGAGCTTGAGTTTTGTGGGTTGTGCTCGGTGTGGCTGGCGTCGTTGCGGGTGGCGTTCTCCATTTACGCCCTGAGAGCGTCGCGGGTCTCCTTGTGTTCTTGGGTGCGCTTGGCACCGCCATGGCGTGCTAGGCGTAGCGCACCAGAACTGTGGATCAGCTTGTTCTTCATCTTCGCTTTCATCTTCATGTCTTTTTTTTTCGGCGGGTGATCTGCGGTTGTGACAAACGAACATTTTTTTTTTCGGTTTTTTTATATATTTTTTTTTTTTGGCTTTTATTTGTTTTTGTTTTTTTTGTTTTTTTTTTGTGGGCTTTTATTTCATTTTTTTTCATTTTTTTTTTTTTTTTTGCCTCTTTTGAAATGTACACGTTAATACACACGAATATACAAACACTCATTTTTTTTTTTTTTTTTTTTAAGGGCAATTATTTCATCATTTTTTTTTTTTGCCCTTCTTTTTTTTTTTTTTTTTTTTTTTGAGCTCCTTTGTTTTTTTTTTTCTTCTTTTTTTTAGCTTCTTTTTTTTTTCTTCTTCTTTCTTTTCTTGGGGGCGGCCCGGGGGACGGGCGGCGCTCTCGGAGTTGAAGTTCGCGCCAGACCGCCCCCCCCCCCCCAGACCGCCCCGTTGCTCTCCCAGATGTGATGGCAGATGCCGGTCCGGGGGACGGGCAGCGCTCTCGGAGTTGAAGTTTGAAGTTTGCGCCGGCCCGCCCCCCAGATCGGCCCGTTGCTTCTTCAGATGTTAGAGGTAGGCCCAGGGGGACAGGCAGCGCTCTCGGAGTTGAAGTCAGCAACGCCCTGCCCCCCCGGACCTCCGAGGGCTGTCAGAAGCCGGTCCGGCGGACGGGCAGCGCTCTCGGAGTTGAAGCTCGCGCCGCCCGGCCCCCAGACCGGCCCGTTGCCCCTCGAGATGTTGTTAGAAGCCGGTCCGGGGGGGGGGGGCGGGCAGCGCTCTCGGAGTTGAAGTCCGCGCCGCCCGGCCCCCCAGACCGGCCCCCGGCTTATCCTTTGCTTGTTTCTGAGCCAGCCCGGGGGCGGGCAGCAGCCCCCGAGTTGAAGTCCGTGCTGCCCCCGCCCCCAGGCCGGCTCGCCTCCTCCTGGATAATGTCCGGGGCCAGCCCGGGAGGCCGGCAGCATCCCCGAGCGGCGGTTATTGCTGCCCCCGCCCCCCGGGCCGGCCCGCCGGCGCGCTGTTGCTGCTTCGTTTGTGCATTGGATGAAAAAGATTGATGCGTACATTCAAATATAAGAACACTTTTTTCACATTTGCACGTACATATATACATGTATCCACTTTTTTTTCCTCTTTTTTTCTTTTTTTTTTCTCTCTCTCTCTGTCTTTTTTTTTCTCTTTTTTTTTTTTAACTCTTGCATTTCTTTTTCTTTTTCTCTCCTCTATCTTTGAGAGAGAAGAGATAATAATTTTCTGGCACATGGCTGCACATCGCTGGAATGTGCGCCTGTGCCCGAAAATTTACACAACATTGCTTGTCTCTTTTAGAGCCAAGGCCGTTTCTGATTATTCCTTTTCTACTAAGCGAGAGCGGTTTTTTTTTCTCTCTCTGTCTGTTTTTTTTTTTTTTTTTTTTTTGAGCTGCAGATTCTTTTTTTTTTCTCTCTCTGTTTTTTTTTCTTTTTTTTTTTCTTTTTTTTTTTTTTTAGCTGCTGATGCTTTTTTTTTTTTTTTTTACCTCATTTTTCTCCTTTCTTTTCTGGGGGCGGCCCGGGGGACGTGCGGCGCTCTCGGAGTTGAAGTTCGCGCCAGACCGCCCCCCCCCCCAGACCGCCCCGTTGCTCTCCCAGATGTGATGGCAGATTCCGGTCCGGGGGACGGGCAGCGCCCTCGGAGTTGAAGTTTGAAGTTTGCGCCGGCCCGCCCCCCAGATCGGCCCGTTGCTTCTTCAGATGTTAGAAGTAGGCCCGGGGGACAGGCAGCGCTCTCGGAGTTGAAGTCAGCAATGCCCTGCCCCCCGGACCTCCGAGCGCTGTCAGAAGCCGGTCCGGCGGACGGGCAGCGCTCTTGGAGTTGAAGCTTGCGCCGCCCGGCCCCCAGACCGGCCCGTTGCTTCTCGAGATGTTGTTAGAAGTCGGTCGAGGGGGGGGGGGCGGGCAGCGCTCTCGGAGTTGAAGTCCGCGCCGCCCGGCCCCCCCAGACCGGCCCACCGCTCGTCCTTTGCTTGTTTCTGAGCCAGCCCGGGGGCGGGCAGCAGCCCCCGAGTTGAAGTCCGTGCTGCCCCCACCCCCAGGCCAACTCGCCTCCTCCTGGATGATGTCTGGGGCCAGCCCGGGGGGCCGGCAGCTTCCCCGAGCGGCGGTTATGGCCGCCCCCGCCCCCCGGGCCGGTCCGCCGGCGCGCTGTTGCTGCTTTGCTTTGTGCAGTGGACGAAAACGATTGATGCGTACATTCAAACATAAAAAAGACACTTTTTTCATTTGCACGTACATATATACATGTATCCATTTTTTTTTTCCTCTCTCTCTCTTTTTTTTTCTATTTTTTTTTGTCTTTTCTTTCTTTCTTTTTTTTTTCTCTCTCTCTCTCTCGATTTTTTTTCTCTTTTTTTATCTTTTTTTATCTTTTTTTTTTTTTTTTGTCTTTTCTTTCTTTTTTTTTTCTCTCTCTCTCTCTAGATTTTTTCTCTCTTTTTTTTTCTCTCTCTCTATTTTTTTTTTCTCTTTGTTTTTTTTTTTCACTCTTTCATTTCCTTTTTCTTTTTCTCTCCTCTCTCTTTAAGAGAGAAGAGATCGTAATTTTCTGGCACATGGCTGCACATCGCCGGAATGTGCGCCTGTGCCAGAAAATTTACCCAACATTGCTTGTCTCTTTTAGAGCCAAGGCCGTGTCTGATTATTCCTTTTCTGCTAAGCGAGAGCAGTTTTTTTTTTAAATTTGATTTTCTAGTCCGGTTTTTGATAAGAAGTCGAAAAGATGAGTAATTAACTGAGGATATTTATCTCCGAGTAAATTTGTTAGGTTGAAGTTGATGTTATTTCTGGTGCAATAGTTAATGATTGTTTGTCTCTGCTGGTTGTAATTTTGGCAATCTAATAGAATATGTTTTATTGTTATTCGGGTGTTACAATCGGGGCAATGTGGTGGAATTTGATCTAAGAGAATAAAAGAGTGTGTTATTTTTGTGTGACCAAGACGAAGTCTGCTTAGACACCTTTCCTTTGTTCTTGATGGTTGGTTTACAGAATTCCACCATTCTATTTTTGGATGTATTTGTTTTAGACTTGTGTTTGTTTCGTCCCAGATTTTTTGATTCACTAATTTTATTTGTTTTGGAATTGTTAACAGAAAGTCATCTGGATTTGGAGGGATGTTTGTGATATTTTCTAGGGTTAGGGCTTCTTTTGCTAATTTGTCAACATATTCATTTAATGGTATGCCCATGTGGGACGGGATCCAGAGAAGAATCGGTAGCTGGTTAGTGTGTTTTTTATTTTAAGGATTTCTGTAATAAGTGGGTGTTTTTGAGATAGGTCTGTGAAATTGATTGCAAGGCTGATAGAGAGTCGGAGATAATTATCGCTCTAGTTATATTATCTTTTTTGATTTTCTGAAATGCTGCTCGAATGCGAATAGTTCAGCCGAGAAGATTGATGTGCCGTTTGGCAGTCTGGTCTTACCGTCGTGTTAGCGCGAGCTCCGTACGACTGATCGCCGCCGCTGCCGTTCGTTCGTTTATTTGCTCCCGTCTGTGTAGAAGTGCGTGTAGTTTTGGTATTGTGCCATGAACTCGTTGAAAAGTGATTGTATTCTATGTTGCTGTAGGAGGATTTTTTGCTGTCAAGGAGGAGGAGAAGTCTTGGATATTTTTGGCCCCACCACGCCACCGGGCGCTGCGTTGGAGTAATGGTGGGGAGTGTGATGTTAAGTGTTCGTGAGTGTTTTGTGATGTTGAGCCGTATGCGGTCTGCGTGTTT